TTTTTCAAGACAAGCCATGATCAGAATTAATGCTAGAGATTTCTTATAAGCACATAAACTCTGGCACTCTCGTCCTCCGCTCACTGAATTAATATGATACGTTGCCTTTGCTATGATAAACACCAGTTGCGCTGCTGTTTTCATGTGGGTGTGTAGTGCTGCTTACACTATTCTTCTTAAATAGAAGTCATTATATTTAATGCCGCCATTCATATACTTTTAATGATAGCCAACATTACAGCCCTGCGTGCAATGAAGCTCGCAGTCACTGAACATCTATGGGTTGACGATGTAAAACTCCGGACAAGTTTTCTTGCACGCACCCGTTTTTTACACGTCTTGACTGTCGTACAGTCTGACATTAAAAACAACTGAGATCCCACAGTGTGACATGATCATCATGTTCATACAGTCTGACAAGTACAATCCTAAAGGACTTTTAAAAAATCGCACAGTGTGAGCCCGGCCTAAATCTTGGAATATATGACCCAAATAAGAATTTTCACCAGATATTGTCATCTGAACAAGTAAGTAACAAGTCTGCCACGTTTGTTCTGACCAACTGAGGAAAAAAGCATTACAGTAAATCGTGCTACAAATGGTGATTTAATCTAACGATCAATTAGCTCATATCACATCAAACCGTGCAGCTAACCGTTGTGAATCGGGCTAAAGTAAGGCGATAGTTTTGAACACTGGCTGGTTATGTACTTGCTCAAATATTGATTTTGGATCATTTTTAACCAAAAAAAGTTACGCACTGCAGCTTTAAGTATAAGGCAGGTTTGATATCAATTTGTTTGGTTGCGAAACACTCAAGAACATCCAAAAGCAGACAAGAGTGTGAAATATAGGCACTTTTAGACTTTACACTATTGCCTATATCACGTAGCTCCCGTTATTACTGGCATATTCCAGTACAACGGATATTTGGAATAAGGTGTTTATGCGACTCAGCATTCCTAATACAACCTTATGACACTTAAGTAGAACAAGTAGTTCTTTATGTTGTTTTTTATTTCTTTCTAGCATAATTTCAGTTTAAGTCAGCTTTTTAATACTTGTGTTATCTTTCTAATTGCATCAGCAAAGCCACGTCAAGAGATTAATTTAGCTGCCAATTTTAATGTAGCTGTTAATGTTGCATCATTATTTACTTAAAGCTGCAGTCCGTAAGTTTTGCCTCTTTGTCACCTTCTCTGTTTGAAAACCTGCAATTGCAGCTTATTCTCAACATTTTATCTCGACTTTTTTTCTCGCAATTTAACGAATTTTTTCTCGAAACATAATGACTTTATTCTCAAAATTTAATGAGTTTAATCTCAAGATTTTATCTCGACTTCTTTCTTGAAATGTAATGAGTTTTTTCTCAAAATTTAACGACTTTAATCTCGAGATGGTTTTATTTTTTTTATTATTGCTTGGCCCTAATCCTCTTCCGTACTAATTGTCATACCATTAAAATTTCATATTAAGAAATTCTTTTAACCCAAAAAGCAAATTATGCTCCCTTCGAACTGGTTTTCTTTAAAATACAAATATTTTGTAATCCCAGGCTATCTGTAATCAGAAGCACATTTAAAACTGGAATATAATTTAATTTCATTCACAAGTGTTTCATAAACACATAATCGTTTCTGGATTACAATCCGCCATCAAAATGATACATTTAATTATTCCAGCTGCTGTGAGAAAAGGCTATAAACGATCTGCCACCTGCAGGATCCTCACATGCGATAGCCTAGTAGCCGGGAAAACTTCTTTATGTTTACAGACGCTACGTAATGACGCAGTGCCATGCTCAAATTTCCTGCGAAAACCTACCCATACCACTCAAATTAGAAAACATTATTATTAGCTAACCGTTGTGAATCGGGCTAAAGTAAGGCGATAGTTTTGAACACTGGCTGGTTATGTACTTGCTCGAATGTTGATTTCAGATAATCTTTAACCAAAAAAAGTTATGGACTGCAGCTTTAAAAATAGAATAGCAAGTGTGGAGCTGTAAAGTGGCTTAAATACAATAGAGATATATATAAAAAAAAGTTTGTGTAAGCAAAAATTTATGGGCTCCCAAAAATAGAGAGAGTACAGTATTAGCAAAAAGTAAAGTTTCAATTGTGTGGCCTGTTTTTGCTCCGTCTGTTTTACCAGGTGCATTATCTCAATCTACATTGCTTCTACTTAGCGGGCCACTCATTTAAACTCAATTTTCCTGCTCTTAATTCACTAATTAGTCACTAATTAGGTCACTAATTAGGTCCTATTGCCAAAACCTTAAAAAAAAAAAAAATCAGAGCCCAGATCAACCTGACTACTGCACATGCTGACAAGCGTTTGGAGTCTCTCTATTAAAAGGGTGGACATGTGCAAAAACTGCAACACAATTAGCATCAAGCAGATAAGTCCTTCTCTAATCCTGTTTACGGCTGGCATCAGGCAGATATGCCAAGATTGATTCGGACAAGGCGTCGGCTTACTGTAATGTAGCAAGGGAGAAGGCCCCCTTTTCCCTCTTTCTCGGTCCCTTCAGGACCCTCCCTTGCACCCTCAGAGGAAGCTTCCTGTACACGCCCGTTAACACGGGCCACTTTGTCATTTGTCCTGGCTCTCGGAAAGCTCTGCCGGGAGAGATTATCTCCTATTCCCACTAATTCAGTTGACTCGGGGTTTCTGTAGTGACCACAATGAAACGCTTTGGAATTAAATAAATAGAGTGGTGGAGGTATAGAGAGGTTCGAGCAGAAGCCTGAGTGGGAACAGATGGCGGTGGGTGTCCTGCGCAGTAATGTGAGAGGGTAGTTAATGTTCTGAAACGCGGAGGTGTGGCTTGGGATTCTCCTAATGAAGAAAGGCTTTCACACGAGGAGAGAGACTGTCATTTAGAGAGCCAGCTATAGAACTCGGTCCATCTTGAGGCTCGGCGACAGATTTCAGAGTGGTTTAATTGGAGTTTGCCTGTGGGTAATCGTTTACAGTGGGGGGTCAGGAGAGAGCAGGAAGGTCGCAGCCCAATGTAACGCTGGGGTATTAAATCTTTATTTTGTTGTTTGTTTTGGTTCTCGTAGAAGAATTAAAGCGACAGTTCACCAAAAAAATTAAAATTGCCATCAACAAATTATCATTATGTTGTTGCAAAGAAGAAATTTTAAACAAATTTTGTCCATACAATGAAAGTCAAATGGGTCTGATATTGTTTTGGACCCCCCCTGATCTTTATTGAATGGGCAAAAACAGTTCAAAAGTTTGTAAGAGTCAGTGAGATTTGGAAGAAATTAATAATTTTATTTAGCATGGTCAAAAGTGACAGTAAAGACTTTTACATAGTTAAAAATCCTACTTCAAATAAATGCTGTAACTTTCTATGCATCAGAGAATTCTGAAAAAATGCATCAGTTTCTGCAAAAAATATTATATAGCATCAAATTAGCATATTAGAATGATTTCGGAAAGCTCATGTGACACTGAAGGCTGAAGACATGCCATTGCAAGAATAAATACATTTTTAAAATATATTAAAATATATTTTTTAAAACTGTATTTCAAACTTACAAATTATTTTTTGGGGGTTGAACTATCCCTTTAAATCCATTTAATTCTCAAGTGCTGAAGTCAACGAAGTCAACATAAAGAGCCAAACTGAAATAAGGTGTAATATTTTTAGTAAATCATATTTACTTCTTGTTTTGAGATAAAAATTTCTCCCCGTTACTTATGAAAACTAAGCTGAAAGTCATTTCGTACTAGATATAAATGCAAACCCACTATCTGTGAATAAGTACCGAATAGTAATGAACCTCAATTCACATTGGCATCTTCATATTACATTCTTACATTTAACCAGGCCTTTAAGGGTCAAGTAGCGTGAAAAATGATTAAAAAAAATTAATTATGCTTTGGCATTTAAACACATAAACATGTACCATTTTGGCAGTTAAACACATAACATTAAAACCCATTACAAGTGGTCAGGAAGGAAAACATGTATATGCCTTTTAAATGTCTCTTGTGTGTTTGCTTTAGCTGACCATGATGTGAAGAAGCAGGAAGAGTATTTGGAGCTTAAGGACGTGTTTGCTGTGAAGGTAAAGCGGCGACGCTCTGTGGGGCAGCAGACGGGCGGAACTCTGCTGGGCATCACAGTCTTCCAGTGCAAGAAGAAAGGGCTCAAACTCAAGGAACATGCCATCCACCTCAATAACCTCAGTGCGGACCACTGTGAGATTTGGTTCAAAAGCCTCAAAGAAATCCTCAGCGGTATGTTCACACACCAAAGCAGCTCAACATCTACTATACACTGAAAAAAATAAAATCACAAATCAAACATTAGGCATTTTAGAATTATTTTATCTTGGAGCTTCAGTGAATGTTATGATGTGCAAACATTAACCTGGTCAACATTTGCTTCACTTTATATTTTATTGTGTTTGCTGACATTTATTGAATGAAGATTGCCCAACCCAGTAATGAATTGGATACAATTACTCTGTTCCTAAACCTAGTGAGTGTAGCATTTTAAGTGCGGTCTTGATGCAAGGCTACCTCAAGAGGTAGGCAGCATTAATTATGCTGTCTTCTAAGATACTTTTATGCCGAATTCTGTGGCAGCATGTATCCTTTGCAGTGAAGGCAATCTCATAATGCACTGATGAGAAACAAATATATCCAAAATGACAGAGAAAGTGAGGGAAATACTTACAACAACTTTGATTAATCCAATTTAAATATGAACCATCTAATAAAAATATGAACCATTTTACCCAATATGTTTGTGTGCTATATTCACTATAGCTCAAAAGTTTGAGGTCAGTAAAAATGTTTTTTTTAATACGTTTTTTTTTTTTTAGCAAGGATGCATTAAATTGATCAAAAGTGACACTAAAGACGGTTCTAGCAAAAAATTAAACAGCTTAACTGTTTTCAACATTGATGATTTCTTGAGCACCAAATCAGCACATTAGAATTATTTCTGAAGGATCATGTGACACTGAACTGACTGGAGTAATGGCTGCTGAAAATTCAGCATTGCATCACAGGAATAAATTCATTTTTAAAATATATTCAAATAGAAAACAATTATTTTAAGTTGCAATATTATTTCACAATTTTACTGTGCACTGTAAAAAAAAATCTGTGACTTTTACGGTAAAATACCGGCAGCTGTGTTTGCCAGAACTTCACCGTAAAAAATATGGTAGCAACATTTTAGGTTTTACAGACTTAACTTAAATTCACAATAAAATACCGCATTTCATTAACTGATGTAATGCTAATAAATGTAGCATTTTTACAGTCTTTTACTGTTAAAATCACAATAATTTTTTACAGTGTGTCTTACTGGGATCAAATAAATGCAGCCTTGGTGAGCATAACAGATTTAGTCAAAAACATAAAAAAATCTTACGAGACATAATGTATTTTTATGCTTATTAGAGAATTGTTTATTAGTTTAGCATCATGTGAACACCAAACTCAAATCAAGTTAGTCCTTTGCATGAGGAGAGCTATTTGAGCTGCCTATGTAGAGCATTAGACTCGCTCATTAGGTTTTGGAACAGAGCCTTTCTATCACAATTAAATGATTTCTCAAGTATGCATCAGACCTACAAATATGATGTGAAATAATGTTCAAGGTTTGTCAGCGACATCCTGGCTACACAAAAAAGTCATGAATAAACTCCACGGACTGGATTATAAGGTACTCTTGTTGAGAGAGCCGAGGGGCACCATTTATTCTGTGTGATGACCGTATCATTGTGTGGTGTGCCTGAAGGGGGGGTCGGAGGGGGTCTTGAAAGACGTGGTGTTGGCTGCAAGGACCTGCTGGATCAGACTAGAGGAACAGGTTGGTCCTACGGCCTCCCTGGAGTTTGTAATTATCTGCGCTCCACTCGCTAGCGTTCACTGCCAAGACGGGCCAGCGGCCTGCCTAGTGCTTCGCTGTGCGTGCAGGGAGACAGGTGTCCTTCCAAATGCGTCAGAACTCTTCGTTCTCCGGTTCTCGAAAACCGGGGGGAAGGATGCAAGGAGGAGATTTAATAGTGGGGGATTCAGTAAAAGTCCGTCTGAGACTCTCCCGAGGACCAACAAAATGATTTAGTATAAACTTCCTTCGTCAGCTAAATGAGCATTGAGCATGCCTTTGTGAAAATGAGCATGCGTAATCTCTGGTAATCCCGGTCTGCAGACAATGCAGTGCTGCACATTTTCTCTGATTCAATCTAGCATCACAATTAGGCTGGAGGTTCAATTTCTGAAATCCTTTGCCCGCTGTGCGTCCCACATACAGTAAATACTGGACACCATACAAGTAGTAGGCTATATTTAAAACCGGATTGGATATGAGATATGAGTTTGGGGGAAATCTCTGGAAAGTGTTTTTGTCCTATGAGGGCCTAGTCATAATGCTGTATTAATGCCAGCTAATCCTTGGAATTTCAGTTACAGCACTGAATAAGAGGTGATGCAACAGCAGCAGTGCTCAGACGGTGCATTACTCACTGGGAATTAGGGAGGGGATTGTCCAGGCCTCACAACTTTATACTGTCAAACCCCTCCCCCACCTCGGTAAACCCTTGCTAAGACTTTGGCCTTGTAACTTCTTTGCACAAAAGTGTTTCTGAGCTGTAGCCCTTTAAAGATTTAAATGCTGGCTTTTTGTGGGTAATTGTGAGTAAGGGCTGCATGTACTTTGGGTAGAACATGAATTAATTAACATAATTAAAGGATATGCCTTGAGGGAGCCCAGAGGAGAGAGGACATGCTTATTTAGTGCTGCGAGGAGAAAAATGAATACACAAAGATGAGATTCATTGTGGTGTTTTACAGTGGAAGTGTGTTAAGATATTTCAAAACCATTAAAATACAGTTTTTTTTTTTAAGTATATAGCCTGTAGATTTAAACCGTATATGTGTTGGCATAAAATTAGATTCTCTTATGGATCTTGTCTATATGTAAAGTTACATCCAGTCTTCTGTCTTCATGACCTTGCAATGCTGGTAAACTTTCCAGCAAAAGTGGTAAGAGCAAGGTAAGACGTCGTTTTCCTCTCATGGGAATTGTGTCCACCTAGAAAAATAGCCACACTTTACACCACAAAACAAAACAAAAATTAATTAGATTAATTTTCAGTGAAAATATCTAAAACTTAATTCTTAAAATAACATAAATTTACTTTTTTTACTTCTGCATCAGATATTTAGACTTGTTTTCATAGTTTGTATCTTGGTACGATTGTATTTTGAGTGAAAACACTTTATATCACAATACTTAATATCCGATGCAATGTGCTTTGGATGTAAATGTAAGGAGTTTTAGACATTTCAACTGAAAGATTAAATCAAGATTAGGATTTTTTTGCAGTGCAGATCAAATAATAAACAGGTTTTTACCTGTAATTTCAGTGATACTAACCAAACAGAATTACAAGAGCAATTAAAAAACAAACAAACACTTGCATTAACTTGCATTAACTTGCATTATCACATTTTTTCCCCTAACCTAAGGAAGGTCATTTGACAGATATGAGATATGTTGCTAATAAAAATATTTTTATATTATATTTTTATGATGATGATTCAAGTTTGAGTAGTGTGCAGGAATAGCTTATTAGCATAGTAGTATACCATTCCAAATAGTATATTAGCAATAGCAAAGGCAGAAATAGTAAGAGTATAATGATAGTACGCCTTTTTGATTGCAGCCACAGTATTAAAGCTCAAGTAAACATACAAATGGCTGAAAAATAAAGAAAAGGTCTTTACTTTTCACGCTTCACATTCAGTAGAGTTGTGCATCACATGGTTCTTAAAAAAATTGTTTTACTAAACTCCAGAGCTATGACGAAATCACTCAAAATAATTTGAGTTCTTCTAAAATGATGAGAATTTTTTTTTTAGTAAGATCTGATTATTTAAATCAGCAATATTATGATTTTTACAGTGTAAATTAAATATTTCAACCATTTTGGGTCATGATGAATCTATATTTCAGTACATTCTCTCTCCTATAGATGTAATAAAGCAACACTGATTAGGGCTTTGATGTCTTTCCTTCTCCAGGTTCTGATAAGCAGCAGCACAGCTGTCATGTGCTACATATTTATACCGTCACAAACTCATACAGTTGTTAATAAAGCATGGCAGTTTGTTTGGTCCTCGTGGAAACGTCCACCCCACCCCCTGCATCTCATGCAAATGCTCTCACACACACGTAGACGCATGTTTTCCATAGCTGCATTATATCTGTTATTTTATTAGCAGTTAAGGGAGTGCTGCAGAATCATTCTGCCCGAGGTGGGGAAAGCGGGCACTCTGGATTACAGGGGTGTTCACCTGTTACAGTGGTGTTTCCCAGGGAGGCGGCACAATGGAAGGTGTGTCCCAGCTGACACTCAGCACAAAAGGTGAACGGTCCAAAAAAACCCAACCCCAGACCTTCAATCCCTGGTGTGATTTTATTCAAGGTGAGCTCTGAATGCCGTTTGCAACATCGCCATGGTTTTCTGACAAGCCATGTGATGTGCGCTGACACATGAGGTGCGGCCACCCAGCTGACAGATTAAACCCTGCAGTCAGAGAGCGAGCGGTCGGGCCAGGCCACAGACCAAACGTGTGGGGAGACGGCCGGGAACAATAGTAGCACCTGTACTACAGTCTACTTGGGTCCAACGTGGTCGTCGAGTTGAACTGGAATAGACTCCTTGTGTCCTTAAACCCTCTTTTGAAAGATTAGTCTTGGCGGGTCAATCAGAGCCCGGGAAGCCCTCCGCGCTCCGCTCCGGACACATAATGTGCTCTTGGTGCTCTTGTCAAAGCGCATGGTCACACTCCTGCGTCAAGCTGGACTTTATTGTTGTAGCCCTAAAGCAAGGAGAAAAGACAAACAGAGAGAGGAGAGAACTCAAGGGTCAAGCACCGGGTCCATCTCATTCCTCCAAAGGTTTTTGTGACCTATCTGAATTCATATGTGCATTTGGCATAAAGCACAACAGTTGCTATTGTGCGCCACGCATGAAATTGCTTTGAGTTGTTTAACAAGATAATAGGGGAAGCAAAATCTCCCTCGGAACGCGATTTTAAAAATGTGTCCAGAATTTGAAGGAAGCTGGGCCTTTGGCTGAGCTTGCGTGGCATTTACATGAGCTGATGTACAATAGCTCGATAGCCAAGAGGATAATGTTACACATTAACAGGGTTTCCATTAAGTCAACCTCTGCATATCCATGGTGACTCTTTCCCCTTGGCTCCTTGGAAAC